ATACCACCAAAAAATAAAGAGGATCGGAAGGAAGTGGAACGATTGCTGAAACTGCTACCAGCATTCAAAGACAATGTACGTACTAACATTGCGATTTTTGATTGATCTGTAAAAGTGTAACGCTTGTGGAACGGAAGTTTTCTGTCATCTTGCGAATTGTTCTGGACGTTTTACTCATTTAAGCGCTATCCGAAACGTTGTGAACATTTCAATTTAAGTGTCATAATTCAGAACGAATGATAAGTTTGATTTTCGGAAATTGTTCAGAAATCGTTGCCTAAAGAAGCGATTAACGACGATTTGATATTCAGTTGTTATTGTTCAATCACGGATCGAACTGATGTACAAAGTGTATTTAATGATAGGTTTGTTCGTTGTTCACTTGCAAATGTAAAAATTCTTCATTGAAAAATCGACGAAATTTTGCACATCATTCAATTTGTTTTTGGAACTTCTCTGGAATCATTCAGATTGTCAATTAGTTGAAAAGACTTTAGCATTGTAATTGTAATTGCTGAATGGAAAATGATTTCAGGTTTAATAATGAGAGACGAGTTCGAAGTGATCTCTTTGCGAAGTACCTCAAAAAGGAGCACTATGATGCACGGCTAAATGAGCTGCTCTATCCGAGTCCTAATGAGGAAAACGCTCAAATGCTCATTGATGAATTTGACAAATTCGGTCAATATTCACAAATGTTCATTCGTTTTCTTCCGTTATTCCGTCAAAATCTCATTCAGCAGCATTCAAAATCCAATATTCTCAAGTCATTTCAAGAGAAATAACGAAAGATTCATTTAAAAGTGTCGATTGATCTCGCTAAACGAGTAAGATACATAAAAAGATAACATTCTATCGAAGAAATGTTACAATTGCGTTTGAATCGCTTTCATGCTGCATTAATCTTTGCCTTCTTCCATAGAATGAGACCTTCTCCTCTAACAAGACCTTTCACTCATTCTATACGCAATTTTTTCGTCGGGATGCAAACTGGCCACAGCCTGATGCTCATCACACTAATTGAATGGCATAATATTTAAGAAGCATACGTGTTCAAATGAAAAATTTTTTTTGGAAATTGAAAAGATTTGAATTGTGATTTTTTATATTTGCAGACTGCTGTATGAACGTGAATACATTTCATCGCTTTTTATTGAGTGCTTATAACATTGCGATGTTAAGGGATCATTTCACTCTGAAAGATGAAGATATGCATAAACCTTTATCGCACTATTTTATCAATTCATCACACAATACATACCTTAAAGGTTGCTGCACTTTTCCATTCGATTCTTTTTCGGATTCCATTGAAAGAATTTCGTGGCAGTAAAACACGGAGGGAAAGGAAACTCCGCTAAATTTCGAATCCACTTGATAATTTATATATTTCCAATAGTTTTTAGTGAACGGTTCCATAACTTGCCGCGCTTTTCACATGGAATGTGCGAGAATTCCCCTAGTCGTTTTCTCCAATTTTTTGCTGTGTTGTGCAAAAATTGGTAGTTGATGATCATTCGTTTTGAGGATATCAGGTGAACGCAAAAAGTTCTGTGGAAATCTACCGATATGTTTTGTTGTCTGGTTGTCGATCTGTTGAGTTGGACTGCTGGGATGGATCAAACGGGGAACCAATCATAACACATGGACCATCCCAGTTAACCAGAGTTACACCAGTTCCTTTCAGGGTAAATTTTTGGGTGAATTTCAGCATGTTTTAAAGTGAGATTTCCGCCAAAGTAAAAAGAAAATTCCATTTGTCACTGCAAATAGCGTGCCGTCTAACTTAATATGAAAATCCGTTGTTTTAAGATATTGAATCCAAGTTTCCTAGTGATTCCTCGATTTCCATGAATTGTATGGGTAGATACGGTTTGGGTTCGTGCTCGATGCGATTGCTGACATCTGAATTGATGAGATTATAAAATTGCTTTCTGTGAATCATTGATCGCATATTGTATCATCAGTTGTTGTTGTATTCTGCAGGATGTTATAGTGGCAATCGCGGAAACAGCGTTTATCACATCCGATTTCCCGGTTGTGCTATCGTTCGAAAATCACTGCAGTGTTAAGCAACAAAAGAAGATGGCTGCATATTGTCGTGATATTTTTGGTGATTTACTGTTGATCGATCAACTCGCTGACTATCC